GCTCGGCTCGGCTCGGCTCGGCTCGGCTCGGCTCGGCTCGGCTCGGCTCGGCTCGGCTCGGCTCGGCTCGGCTCGGCTCGGCTCGATCCAGCTCGGAGCCTCGCGGCTGCGCTCGGCGCGCTTCGCGGAAACGCCTTTGATCCATTTCCAAGAACTTTCCAGGAACGCGAGGCCGCCGCGCCCGCCGCTGCCAATGGGCGCCGCCGCCGCCCGCCGCATGCGCGGGGCTCCGCCCGGACCGAGCGCTGCGATCCCCGCTGTGCCCCGCGTGGCGGTGCGGCTATGCCGGGGCTGCTCCGAAAGTAATGCTTCTTATTTCGTGCTGTCGGCCCGCGGAGGCGGATGGCGGTGGGATGGAGGTAGAGGTCGAACCTTTCCGCAGATATCCCATGACGTTTCGTTGCCCTGTGACAGATGGCAGCGGAGGGGCAGTCTGACAAAATAGCGTCTTGACACGGAAGGGTGCAGGGAACGAAGGGACGGGGCTGAATGCCTCCTCGCAGAAAAAAATGGCAACCATTGACATTGTCAACTTTGATGGAGCAGAGTGGTCACCTCTGCTGGTGCAGGTTGTTACCATGAAGACTGCTCATCATCGCCGGTGAAAATGCATAGCTAACGGTGGTGGCTGTGTTGAAATAATTGTGTTTTGTCGCTGAGAAGTTGATCTGTTAAATAGCGTTATTGTGATCGTTGTGTTCGTTTTCTTTTCCACGAAAATAAATAGGAGGTATTACTTTCGGAGCGACCTCAAATAAGCACTCAGAGCGGCCCCCATCTGTAGGTTTTTTTACCCAGCAAAGCCGGGCGATGCAGACCTCAGGGCCTTCTGGGCCTATCAAAGCCTTTATTTTTCAACACGTCGGCTCCATCCTCCTCCTGCCCCGGGCGTCCCCGCTGACCGGAGGCGAAGGGCCGCAGGGCGGCCACCGGGTACAGGGGGCAGCGGAGCCGGGGCCGGACTCAGGGCGGTTCCCGCAGACTGAACGTCCCGCTCCGGCACGGAGCCGCGCTCATCCGTCCCTCCGCGTGCGGTGCCGTCACGGGCTGCGGGGAGCGGGAGGGTTCCCTCGTACCTAATGCGGCCCCTTCTACAACCTCGTGCCGAGCTGCAGCGCCGCGCCGCTCTCCCAGCCTTCGGTCTGCGCGTGGGGCCGCACCGGCGTCCGTGTGTCCCATCGGCGGCATCGGGCTCCACCTGGCGACGTCCTTCGGGCGCGGGCGGCGCTGCTGGCGGAGGGGCAGAGCTGCGGGGCAGCGCGGTATCCCCACGTTGGGCGGCGGCTTTGCGCGGCCGTCCCCGGGCGCTCTGCGGCACCGCAGCACCGCCCGCTGGGCTGCGGCTCCCTGGGGCTGACTGCCGCCCCTCTGCTCCCGCGCTGGGATCTCTTTCGGTGAGAGATTAATTCACTGTGCTCCACTGCAGAAGAAAACGAAGCACCATCTCCTGGTGACAGATGAGAGGATTTATGATGCTTTTGGTTTGTGGTACTTCTAAGGAAAAGCAAAAACAAAAACAGTTTGCTTTTCTTCTCTCTGCTGAAATGGGAATCATAGAATCATAGAATGGCCTGGGTTGGAAGGGACCCCAAGGATCATCAAGTTCCAATCCCTCTGCTGCAGGCAGGACCAGAGCCTCCAGATCTAATACTAGAGCAGGGTGCCCAGGGCCCCATCCAACCTGCCCACGTGGTGCCCAGGTGTCCCTCTGCAAGTGCCCTGTGGCCTGAAACACCCCCAGCAAGTGCCTGTAACACAGCTGCTGGCATTCAGTGCAGCTCTCAGATCCCCTGCATCTCCCTGCAGTGCTGTGAGGACAGAGTGCTGAGGACCCCCAGGCATCAGGGCACAGTGTGGTGTAGGATACGGGTGGCCTGGATACAGCAGTGGGTTTGGGGCTAGGATTTGTAACTTACAGAAACCTTATTATGACTTCCTCTCTTTTCCCTCCTTTTTATTTTTTTCTGTTTGTTTTGTTTTGCTTTGCTGAGTCTGAGGCAAACACCTGCAGAGCAGAACTGAAGGAAAGGTGCATGCGCCGCTTTTCAGAGTGCAGCACACACCACAGCCCAACCTAGAGGTCATACAGCAGCTTCCATTTCCTGCTGTGCATCACCAGAGCTTCCTGCAGAGCTTCCCTTCCTGCCACGGCACAGACACAGCACTTTCTGAAGAACTTCCTTAGAAATGCAGAAAGGATGCTGCAGCCTCACAGTCCTGTCCCCACTTCCAGGCTGACAGACAGAGCAGCCTCTGCCAGGGGACATCTGTATAATGCAGCCGGGGGAGGCAATGTTTCAGAAGAATGCGTCACTGCATTTTCAGTTGCTGGTGGCATTTTCTTTATTGCAGTCAATACTGATTTCCTCGAGACACTGCTGTGTGAGGACCAACCCCAGCCTAATCCCTTTTGTCTGAGATAAACTCAGATGACTGCAGCATGCGGGTAGGTATCATTCTCCCAAAGCACGCCATCCCCAGGGATTTGGAGACCCCAGATTTCCCAGCTCTCCACCAGACAGCAAACTGAGATGTTTCATTTCACTTTATTTTTGTTGAGAAATGAGATATTTCACAGTCTGAACTGGCTTTGACACCTGATATTGCTGACACTGAATTGCTGCGGTGTAGGAAAAAGGCAGCATAAAATACCTGATGAGATGGCCAAAATTAACCTTAATCATCCAAAGTAGTGGTATTCGAGCCATAAAGCTCTCTCTGTGTGGAGTGAGTAGCTGTGATACCAGGAGCAGCAACCCCAGCTGTGTGCTGGCTGGAACACTGAGGTGGCTGCTGCCCCACTGCTCAGTGCAAGATTGGGGCCTCAAGATCAGGGAAAGTCCCAGACCAATCCCTGGTTTGGGATTTTCCCTGATAAACTCTGCTCCTACTGTAGGGCAAGGCAGACAAGCTACTGAATTCCCTCTCAAAATAAGGGTGGATTTGTTTTGTCTGTTTGTTTGGTGTGTGTGTGTATGGTAACTGTTGAGTCACGGCCTGAACCACTGACTGGGCACCTGGGAAAGGATCCGGTCAGCCCTGGGAGCACAGGTGAAGGCACAGCATTCACAGCATTACACAGCAGTGTAATAGGAAGGGGTGGAGCTTGCACCTCTCTTATACCTCACTGAAGGGCTGATGGCCCTGGGGAAGGGTTTGTGGTTGGAGATCCTTCCTTAGTGGTCTTTTCTGTGAGCCTGGGTCTTTGGAGGTGGGTGAGCATCTTTACTTCTTTGAAATTCCATCCATGCTACTCCCTTTGTTGTTACACTCCTCTGTTGTCCTTCCATGGCATTAATCTTTCTGATTGTAACAGTGTGTCATTGCTGTTGGGTACTTTTGGAAAAAACAGGATTAATATTTAACGTGCAGTTCTAGGGATTTTTGTGAGGAAAAATTTAGTGCCACAGTGGGGTCCTAGTGTGTAACAATACTGTGGTTGTTTTTAACTTCAAAAAGCAAACATCCATAAATAAATAATATTTTCCTTCTGATTGGAAGCTGTCCCTGGCACTGCCAGTCCTGGGAGGTACAGCAGGGGGAACTGGGATCCTTCCCTCCAGAGGAGGCTCAGGGGAGACTTCAGACATCTCCCTGAATGGAGGTTGTAGTGAGGTGGGGGTCAGCCTCTTCTCCCAGTTAACAGTGATGGGACAAGAGGGGGCAGCCTCAAGTTGCGCCAGGGAAGGCCCCCACTGGGTATGAGGAAGAGCTTCTGCAAAAGAGTGGTTGAGCTCTGGCACATCTGGGGGAGTCAGCATCTGTGGAGGTGTTCCAGAACTGTGGGGATGTGGCGCTGAGGGATGTAGGTAGGTGGGGGGGGTGGATGGTGGGGCTTGGTGATCTTAGAGGTCTTTGCCAATCATAATGATTCCGGGATGTAATGCTTCTCCCTAGCACAGCGGTACATCTTGTGCCCAGACAACCTACCCCAGCTATAAAATGACCACAAGAAGAAAGGGAATGTATTTGCTCGCTCTGCCTCAGCTGTGGCCATTCTTGCAGCGAGGCCCCTGGGCCGGGGCTGCAAAAGCTTTGTCAGAGTTTCAGGTGGGTGAAGTCAGCAGGGGCCCTTATCGGCCGGCCCCGTACGGCTCATCCGCGCACGGAGGACGCGGCGCCGCCGGCCGTGCCCGGCCCCGTCAGTGCCCCCGGAGCGCGACGAGCCTCGCGCCGTGCGCTGCCGCGGCCGCTCCTCCGGGCACCGCCGCACGGGCGCGCTGCGGCACCACCCGCGGCCGTCACGGCAGCCGCGCCTCCCGCCGCTTCTTTCTCTTACTTCCGTCCCCCTTCCCCCTCATTTTTGGTTTGTTTTTGTTTGTTTGTATTTTTCCCACCTTCTTCGTACTTCATCAGCTGCCTCTGCCCCCCGCGAGCCGCGGAGCGCTCCGGGGCATCCCCTGGCACCGCCGCCGCCCGCGAGTGCCTCAGGTCGCCTCCACAAAGCACAGCCCCCAGCCCGACTCCCGGTCCCCCCAGGGCCGAGCCGACGCCCGCCGGCGGTGCTCCCTTCGGGCCGGGGCCTCCCCTCTGCGTGGGGGGCGGTGCGCACCTGCCCGGGGCGGACCCAGGCAGCGCCCGCCCTCCGGGACGCCGCGCAGGGAAGCGTCGGCCGGGCCCGCGCCGCTACCGGCAGGTAACGTCCTCCGGCGGGCCCCGGGCCGTGTCACCCCGCGGGGCGGGACGAGAGCCGGTCTGGGGCGCGGCGCCCCTCGCGTCTCCTTTCCCCCAACCTCGCCCCGCCGAGGGCCGCAGGTGGGGGCTGCTGCCACGGCGCTGGATGCGGGGAGGCCGCCGGGGGTTATCGCTGCGGGGCCGTCTGCGCTGAGCGCGGGGCTCCGCCGAGGACTTTGGTCCGAGCTTCGGCACGGGCGCATGCTGTGGCGGGGCAGAAAGTTCTGGGTGCGGGCTGGGAGCTGCGGGGCGGGGGCTGAGCGCTCCACGAGCGCCTCTCCGCCGCTGCGGGCGGCCCGCGGAGGGCGGCGGGCGGCTCTCTCACGGCGTTGGGCGCTGACCCCCGTTTGTGTCCAGGACTCGATGGCGAGCGCTGCGTGAGCCGGCTGAGCGCGCTGGGACGGAGCGCGGGGTCGCCCGGTGGGCGTCGCGGTGGCCGCGAGCTGTCGCCTGCTATGGAAGGCGATGGAGGAGAGCGGGAATCCCAGCCCGAGAGCCACGTGGAGAGCAGGAGCGGCGTGAAGCCTGTGCCCGGGGGAGCGGCCCACGTCAAGCTAGAGATAAAGAAACACGCCGTCACGGATGACTACAAGCTGTCCAAGCGGGTGCTGGGGTTAGGAATCAACGGCAAAGTACTGGAGTGCTTCCACAAGGAGACGGGGCAGAAGTGTGCTCTGAAGGTATGTGGGCTGTTCCCTTTTACCTTGGGGCTTTGGAGGCTGCGGTTCACATAACTCCCTGTTACACTCCTGTTTTGCCGTTGACGTTTCACAAGGAGAGCTGCGTGGTGAGGTATCCCAGCCTGGAGATGCTCGCAATGCTTACGGGATAGCAGCCCGCCCGTGAGTCTGTCCCAGAATATTTCACGTGAGTGCTGAGGAGGACGTTACCAGTGGGAAAAGCCTCGTTTGTATTTAAGAGATAAAGCAGGGAAGAGAACATCTGGGTGTGTGCTGTGAGGGAGCGTGCTGGATTCTGAATGGATGTGTTATGCAACACTGGGGAAGGAAGCTGCTTTGGGTCTCTGTAATTCAATAGGCCCAAACTGGGAAGGGTTTAGCTACTCATTGCTCTTTAGGCTGTCTTCCCTCTGAAGACCTTTTGCAGGGCCCTGCTCGCTGTTGCAGGTGCACGACTTTGGAAGGATCCCTCTTGTTGGAAGGGGTGCTTCCCCTTTCCTCTGTTCTCTTTATCTTTGCAATCTGTTTCCTGAAGGGCACCGCCTGGGCGTGCACAGGTAATGTCAGCACTGGCGAGTAGCTGTGAACTGGAAATGAGGATTTGTAGTGATAAACACGAGTTAAGAACACAGACCGTTAACTCGGGAACATTAAACTCACTTGCCTTTTAGCCTGTAACCTCGAGGTTTTCTTGATGATATTAGAGCATGTGGTTAAAAACCCAACAAAAAATAACTGGCCCAAATGCAAACCAGGTTGGGGCTGTGCAACAGGACTGAAAACAGCTGAAGCAAATGCTGTGAGAACGATGTGGGAGTGTTGCTGAGTTCTTGCTGGAGCTTACCTGATTAGTGAAGGTGTTTTTGGGGTGCATTTCTATTTCTTAAGCCTCGATCTGCATCTGGTAGCAGCAGGATGGCAGCTGGAAGCCAAGGGCTGTGCGTGGCCTTACTTCAGTCACTTGAGAGCTGCTGTGCGGCACAGTCCTTGCGGCAGAGGTTGGAAGTACCTGGTGGCTTTGTCTATTAAAAAAATAATAATAATTTGAACAGATGAACTAGAAAAACTTGTCACAACGTGCTGATTAATGGCCGTGTTTCCATTGCTCTCATTTATCTTTATCGCTGTTTCTGTGTTCTCTGCACATAGCTGACTCACAGGAGTTTATCGTGGAGGAAACTAGAAGTTCTGGCAAACAGAGTGGGTAGTGCTGGGGCTTTGCACCTGCCTGGGGTTTGTGGCTCTGAGGTGCGATTCCTCATTTGGTTCCTCCTGCCTAAATATTCTGCACCAAGTGAGATAAATTGAGGTGCTTTCAACGTGATTTCCATGCTCAGGGTGCTGTGATGAGGGGTAGCATGCCTTCTGTTAATACAGAAGCTGTTTTACTCTTTTAGAAGAGTTCAGTGGATTTTATATTTGGTCTACGCCATTCAAAGGTTTTATGGAAGTATTTTAAGATAGAAATTTCCATTTGGGAGCACAATCCAATGGAAATAGGGGTGTTCCACAGCCAATTCCACAGCTCTGGAATCAGAGGAAATATGTTCCCATTCAGTACAGTGCTTTAGTTTGATGCTCAGAGCTGGGGAGGGGAAGAGGAGGAGCAAAGCTGCAGTGCTGGGTAGAGAGGAGGAATCTGTACCAAGTCCTCTGATGCTGGCTTCCATTTAGCACAGACTGAGTTGGCCATTGTTGTTGTTTTGTTTTCATAACTTTTAAAAGATATGGAAAGCCACAGCACACGCTTCCATTGCCAAGCAGGGGCTTTGTCAGTGATGTTCAATACTGTGCTGAGATGGTTACGTGAGCATCGTGCTCCCAGCTGTGCCATGTGCATGCTTTCCTTCCAAAATGGGCACAAATATTAAGATCCTTAGGAGTTCTCTGGGAGTTTAAATGGCAGATAATATTTCACCGTGTACATGTATGTATTTCTCACTGTTGTGAGCTTAAGTGCTGGAAAAAAAAGTTAAATATGCCATTAAGTAATATTGCCAGCAGTCTGTAGAGAACCTGCTATTCTCTCCAAAGATGGTCTAATGAGAAGATTACCCAACAAGGAAGGATAAAACTTTCCTTGGATAATTGGAAATCACTTGGTTAATGGGAAAGGACATAAAATCTTTTTTGTAGACCTGGATGAAGGCTTTCAGAGAAGTTTGCCCATTGTTTTTTGTGAAACCTCGACAGGGCCGTAGCGTTCCCCAGCACCAGGTAGGACTTCACAGCACATCATCTGGTCAGAACACTTACTAAATTAAAAAGAAAACTTGGAAAAATGGCTTTTCGGAGGCAACTTTTGTGTGTGTTTGTGCGTAGGGATGGCAGGGCCATGGTGCTCCGGCCTTGCCACTGCTTGTGCCAATGGGTGCGCTGACATCCAGCTGCAGGAATGGGAAGTGAAGGTTGCTGCAGCCTGATCTCTTGGGTGGAGAGAATGGACAGACTGGGCTGCAAGTTGAGCAGGAGGGGGAAAAAACATACTGGGTGATTTTCTTCATACATTCCCTGGAGGCTGTTTGTGCAGTCTCCATTGGTATCTGTATTTGTGGATAAATAGTTCAGCAGCTCCTGCTGCTGGAGATGGAGCATGATAGTCTGTTCCCCTTCACACCACGCTTGTCCATTAAAGCTTCTGACTTGGCAGATGGCACTGCTTTCTGCCTGCAGGTTTTCTTTTACATGGGAACAAAGCCAGCGCAGCCGGGATCTGGATAGAAATTACTCAATGGAAGGAATTTTAACTGAGGTACTTGAGAGGAAAGGGCTCAAACAGGCAGAAATGTTCCTTCCCAGAGCCATGTGTCAGTCCAGCTCTACACGCTGTAATGGGAGCTCCCTGTTGTCAGCTTTCATCTGTGCCCATAATCAGAGCTAGTTAGAATGTCGGTAATCACTTTAATGCAGAAAAATTCAGGACAGCCTCTCAGAGATCCTGCAGGGCTGTGCTTGTGTGCAGTATTCCATGGCTCGGCATTGAGATTTGCTACGCGTTTTTAAAATGTGTTGTCAGCTTTGTTCTGTTAGACTGAAATGCCACACACATTGCTGTCCTGCTGCAGAAAACCTAAGCTAGTTACTGTCACAGGCACAGGGACGTTTTGGCTGAGCAGTGCTGTTTCCAAACAGAGCGCGCTGTGCTTCGCAAGGGCAGGAGCATAAACAAAGCAGATCTGCAGGACCAGGAATGGCCTTCCAGAGGGCAGCTGCATTTTTGTCTCTTCCTTGCAACTAGAAAACATCAAGTCTCTTTCCATCGCCGATCCAGAAATGGCAGCCAAATGAAATGTAGTCACCTTTATTTCTAGCTTTCCTTTGCCAGCCTTCTCCTTTCCGTTCACTTTATCTTGTGGGGTTACACAGTGTAACCTCTGCTGCTTTACTGCTGTCCCCAGCCTGAGAGTTCTGTGCTGTTCCTCCCTCTGGCCGAGACCCCAGTGGTGGGCTGGCCTGCCTGCATCACTGCAGCTCCTGTCACTTGTCTTCCCGTGAAGAACATCCAGTGCTTCATTCTGTTCCCTCACTTCTTTATCTTTATTTGTACAAAGTCACGCCAGGCAGTGTCAAAGTAATATTTCAACGCGTCTGACCTACCTTATTTTAAAGAAAGGAGGTAGAGAGGGCTCTGACAGAGTCGGGATCAAGAAGGGAGAGCTGGAGACTGTTCTGCTGCTGGAGCATTGGCATATTCTGCATCTGCCCTTTCCAGGGTTTGGTGGATGATTCAGGATGTGAAACGTTGTATGTCGTTGGCATGCTATTCAGCTTCAGTAAACACATGTTGCTGCCTTCCAGAGGAAGAAAAGGAAGGACTGCCTGGACACAGCAGCAAAACAAAGGTCTTTGGGGCTTCAGGAAAACAAAGTACATTGTTTCAGGAGAACTCTCACGAATAACAGTAACAGTTGCAGAAGGGCCTGTTCCCTAATACAGCGTGCAAACCAGGCACTGTGAGGGCCTTGCAGTCATCTGAGGCTTTCAGGCTAAGGCACAGCGTGTAGGAGCAGACCTGCTGGCTCATGGCTCTTATCCTCTAGGATGAACAGCAGAGAGTGAAGCAGTGACTCGCCTCGTGGAAAATGCCTGTGCTGGTGAGTGCCAGCTACAGCATGTGTGATTGGCTAATTTGAAGGCAAATAGGGGAAGCCCACTCATTAAACAAAACAAAAAGCGAACGCAAAAATGAACAGGCTCTTTGTCTTTAAGCTTCAAGGAACTCTTAGTGAATGATATAAATGATGATAATAGAGTAGGAGTCTCTACTACAATCCGTGTGAGTATCAGCATAATGTTGTAGTCAGGCAAGAATTGGTAACAGAAATTTAGCACGAGATCGTTATCACACACAGGGCTGTACAGAGGGGTGTGTGTCTGCTTTCCAGAGTGGAATTGCTATGGAAGGTTATAGCTGTTCTGCATCACCTTAATTTCATTTAGTCTTGGGCTGTGTTTCTGCCTCTTACTCAATTTTCCTGCTTCTGATTAAGTTAAATAGCTCTGCATCACGTAAGTTAATTGCTGGATTATCTGTTTTCAGCTTGCATCCCCTGAAGTCAGCTCAGGGTTGCTCACTAACAGGAGACTTCACAGTCAAAGTATTTGTTTTGCAAGTTACTGTAATAACTGGTACTTCTAAAACACCCCACTCATTGCCTCAAACAAGATGATCAAGGAAGAGAATGCAGAGATTGAGAAGGCAGTGCACATGGGGAAAGTGGAAGTTATTTTAGGCTGATTGATTTTTAGAATGGGAAATGTTAACAAGCATCTTGGATGCTATGGGTTGCATTTTTAGAGTAGAAAATTATGCCACATCCTTGGAATGTGGTAGGAATGCTGTACTAAGCTACAGCTGTGACGGGAATTCAGGAGAGCCAAGTACAACTGTTGGTTAGGCTTTGTGTGGGGTGCAGGAGCTCTTGCTTTGCAGGAGTGATGGTGTATTTCAGGAGGAAGCTAGCATGCTAAGTGACATTTTCTGTAGTTCCCTCTTACCT